GGGCCTGGACTCCTGGGTCTGAAGGAGGAGGAAGAGCTGAAGGTCTAGACTTCTGGGTCTGAGGAAGGTGGGGCTGGGGGCCTGGACTCCTGGGTCTGAAGGAGGAGGGTCTGGGGGCATGGACTCCTGGGTCTGAAGGAGGAGGGCCTGGGGGCTCTGGACTCCTGGGTCTGAGGAAGGTGGGGCTGGGGGCTCTGGACTCCCAGGCTCATTTTCTTTCTCCCCTGGCAGAGCAGAGGAAGCGTTACTCCACAGTGGTTATGGCCGATGTATCCCAGTACCCAGTCAATGTGAGTCTGGGATCTATGTTCCCCAGGACATCTTCTAGGGCAAAGGTGGCCTCAGGAGATAGGGCTTTGGAAAGCAGCTGGGCCCCCAAGCAGGAAGCATGTGGAAAGCCAGTTTGCCCATCCATAAAACGGACCTCCGTTGCCTCACCTCAGTCATGGATATGAAGTCAGGGACCTCGGGTCCACTCAAATCTGCCGGCCTTTTCTCCGGGCTAGCTGTTGTGCTGGACAGTGGGACCATGGGGACAAATCAAGACACAGCTCTGCATGAGGAGGGGGTAGACGAGGTCCAGAGGAACCCACGGAGGTGCCTGGTGCTCTAATGGAGGTGGCAGGGGGCACAGCGGGAGACCCGAGGAGGCATTTAGAAGGAGAGAGCTGTAATCCAGACTCCTTCCCTGCCCGCAAGGAGCCTCCAGTCTGTGAGAAGCCAGACTCAGGTGCTAGTCACTCTGATGAAAGGGAAACAAAGAGCGCTGGGAGGAGGAGCTGATTTGTGGCGCAGGTGATCAAGGAAGGCTTCCTGGAGGAGGTGTGGTTAGTCTCAGGCTGAAAGTCTGATTATTCTGGGGGATTCTGAGCCCACCTGGCATCATCTTGGGCCTCACTGCTGTCTCCCTGGTCCGTACCAGCACCTGGTAACGTTCTGCCTGGGTGAGGACGATGGCGTGCACACCGTGGAGGATGCCTCCAGGAAGCTGGCCGTCATGGATAGCCAGGGCCGAGTCTGGGCACAGGAGATGCTGCTGCGAGTGTCTCCCGACCATGTCACGCTGCTCGACCCGGCCTCCAAGGTGCCAGGGGGCACGTGGGTGGGAGGAGTGTCTGGGGCAGGGACTTCAGGGGGTCTGGGTGTGAATCTTGGCTCCTGCATGTCCTTCCTCTGGGAACTCTGGCCGAGGGACCCCAGCCCCCTTCTTGAGCCTTAATAGCCTCATCTATTAAACAGGGGTGTTATCCCTAACTCCCTAACTGCGTGAGGTTGCCCTGACCTGCTGGCCCACACTCCCGTCGCCATTTAGTAGTACCATCATTTCGGGGCCTCAGTTTACCCTGCCATCCCACCCGGCAGGAGGAGCTGGAGTCGTACCCGCTGGGCGCCATCGTGCGTTGTGATGCGGTGATGCCACCCGGCCGGAGCCGCTCGCTGCTGCTGCTCGTGTGCCAGGAACCCGAGCGCG